ATGACTTCGAGCACACTCCATCTAGGACAACAGTCAATTTCCTATCCACTAAGTAGGACTGAATCCACTGCAGTAACATTGAATGAAAACCTAAATGGGCAAGTTTAGCAACAAGGATTCTGTGGGAGATCCTGTCAAATGCTTTAGAAAAGTCCGTATATATGGTGTCCACTTGGTGACCATTCTGAAAAGCGTTAAGACAATCATCAGAAAAAAACGCAAGATTAGTAATGGTAGACTTTCCAGAGACCAAACCATGCTGATTTGGACAAACAAGTTGCTTAATGTTGAAAAATAGTTTTTCTTTCATAACACTCTCAAATAGTTTCGAAACAGTCGACAACTTCGAGATCGGCCTATAATTTCAAATATCACATTTATTACCGTTTTTGAAAACAGGAGTGACCGAAGTAAGTTTCAATGCGTCAGCAAAGACTCCTGAGGCAAGTGACTTGTTGTAAATAATTTTTAATGGTGTCACCAGTGAAGGACAATTTTTCAATAGCGCCACAGAAAAGCCATCCATGTCAGTCTGCATTGAGGGCTTCAGGCTTATAATGCCTTTAATAATGACCCAAGATTGAAATTAGAATAAATACTTCCCTAATCCTGTGTAAGTATATCCGAGAGGTCGTCGTTCGATAAATCATTATCAGAGACGAAGTTCGATGAGAAAAAGTCAGCGAAAAGGTTTGCAGCCTCTAAAATGCTATTAGCCTTGGCATCGTTATAGCAAACCGAAGTGGGAACCGTAGATACCTTTTTTCTAGACTTAACAAATTGCCAGAAACTTCTTGGATTATTTTTAATTTTAACTTCGAAGCCTGTAGCGAGATTTGTTTAAACTGTCGAACTGATTTTTAAACTTAGCGTACAGATCAAAGTATTTCTGTTCATTATTTAGTTGACTTGAATTTTTTAAAGAACTTATTGCTCAAGTTCTTTAAACCTTTTAGTTTCATCGAATGCCAAGAAAATTTATGAGGCAAATTAGCATGAACTGGAATGTGTTTTTTACAAATATTATACACCGTACTTTTAAACTGGTCAAAGCAACTAGCAATATCACCGTCACCAAGAACATCAACCCAGAGGATATTAAGAAATGCGTTATTGATGATATCGAAATTAAAAGAGTTATAATTAAATGCAATTTCTTGATGTTCATGATTAACTGCAAAACACTCGTAAAATTCAATGTCAAGCAACAAAGGGTGATGATCTAAGGTAGATGGAGATAGTGCTGAAGCGGCGACCTGAATCTTAAACTTAATATTATTACTTACAAATATAAGATCTAAGTAGCGGTTCAATTTATTGTGAATCCCGTTAACCTGAACTAAGTCACGTCCTAAGAAATTATCAATAAGATAAGATTCTATGACATTACTTATATTAGAAGGAGTTAAAATTACATTATTATCCAAATATGACCAGGTAATATTGCTTAGGTTGAAATACCCCAAAACAACAAGCTGATGTTCACCAATGCCTTCATGAAGAGAAACAATATTATCGACATGTGCTCTAAATATAAGTTCATTGCTAGCCGGTGGAATATACGAGGCACAAACGTACAGCGAATTAGATACATTTCTTATATTTATACAAAGCTGATCTAGCAACGTATCATTATTTTGAAGAAGAACTAATGACGCTTGTAGATAACAACAGCATGCGATGAGCACTCCACCTCCTCTTATACAGCCAGTCTTGACTGGATCGCGATCTTTTCGGAAAACATCATAGTGCCTAATATCGAAGAACTCGGAGTCAAATAACTGTGGATTGAGCCAAGTCTCAATAATCACATCATACTCCAATTGAGAGCTAAGCAGGTACAAATCCTCCGATTTTGTTCTTATACCAGAAGCATTGTGGAAATAAACTTTAATATTTCGCTGCCCGCCAAGAGAAGGCGTTACTGGTTTTCTGGGCGCAAAGTTGGAGTTTTCTCTAAAAAACGAAAGGGTCGCACTGCAACATTCACTGGCCAAATTTCAGGAATCAGCAGATTTTCATATGCAGACAATGGCACTCCTAATTTGAAGTTAACACTCCCCATTAGCTTAAAACATGATAGCGCATTTTTATTTAGACTCGCCTTCTCAGCAACATCACTTAAAACGTCATGTAAAATGTAGGCGCCTGAGATGTCGACATTGCAGTCAGTTTGTTACTACCATTAACTGCAGCAGTAGCACTCGACGTGGGCCTCACGTTAGCTGTATTAGTGAGGGCATCTCAGTAGGTACTAGCAGAGATCGGCGTAGTGCCAGCAGTAGCATGAGTGTGCGGAGCAGAACGAGTTAGTAGGCGTAGAGTGCAGTAGTGAGTGCTCACCAGCGCCAATTGTTTCACTCCTTTTGTTGGCACGAACTGGTCCGATGATACTGGAGCCAAAAATGCGATGCATTTTCCTTATTTCAACAGTAAGAAAAGAAATAGCGGCATCTTTATCATTAAGTTTAGCCCGTAGAGAAAGAATTTCTGCATGTAGGCTATCACATTTTTGCACCAATTGCTTTTTATCTTCAACCAGCGTACCTAATATTGTGAGAACACGAACATTATCAGCTCTTAATGCAGCTAATTCTGTAGCAATAGTTGACATGGTTATTTGTTGCTTGTTAATTTGCTCATTTAACACAGTATCACTATTAGTTTTAGGCGTAATAGCACTAGTAGCAGCAGCTCCCTCAGAAGCGACGGGTGGTGGAGGCGCGTGAAGGGAAGCACGACGCTCATTCGCACACGCTTTGCTACGAAACCCTTGTCCGAACTTAGCAAAAAGTCGAGATCAGCCTGTTGCATACCAACACAAGACAAGTGAGAAAATATTTTGCACTTGGCGTACTGAACCTTCGATTGAGCACGGTCAACCTTCTGACCTCAAACATAAGGCATAATGAATAATTTACTTGAATATTTTAATATGCATTTATTAAATAATGCAGAGTCACTATCTCAGGGTTTTGCAACCATGAAAGAATAAATAAATTAACGCAAGAGTCACCGGATTGTGATTGTTGTTACACAAAATACGGAGCTATAAGAAAACACATCCACACGGTTTGACGACTATTACATTGTATAACTATATACGACACCAGGAAATATACGACACCAGTTTGCTGGCTCCATCAAGTGATTGTACCATCAGGCTCGAAGCATATAACTTACCAGCATGCTGGTTCAATATTTATTTCTTTATAAATGAGGTCGAGGAAAGACCGAAATGATTAGAGCCGAAATTTCATAATATTTCTACCATTTCGTTAAACATTGTTTTTTTTTTTTTTAATTCACAACTGCAATGTCGTGAACTTAATCTTCCACAAATGCGGATTTGACTCGTATAGTGCAAGAAATTTTCGCCAAAATACCTTTTACTTAGAAAATTGAGCTAATTTCACCACTCACGACTGAGCGAAGTTTTTGGACGAAAGTTGCCGCCGTCGTGCTCTACTCGGCGAAAATTCGCCGTTTGCCGGTATTGTGTTTCAACGGTGAGACTGCTTTTTCAATAAATCTATCTATAGATATGTATAAATGTGAATGTCTGTTTATTTATTACCTTATAACTTTTTAACCCCAACACGGAATCGCACGAAACTTTGTACACTTATTGTTTTTACCCCGGGAAGGTTATAGGTATGGTTTTATTTGCAAATATATCGTAATTTTTGCAATGGGGCGTGGAACTTGAAATTTGGCACAGAGACATTTTTATGGTGGGCGCTTTTAGTAAGTGTTTAGGCGCGACTGCTAACACCAGGCGCCTAAATGCATGCTATGTACTGCTGCATGTGCAAAAATTTCCTTCATTAAATTAATGAAATTTATGTACATGCACTTCTCAACTGCCATGTAATAAAACTTTCTTAAGTTTTAATTTGATGGCAGTTCAAAGTATGCTCGGCCTAGTCTGATGCATCCTCCGGACACTGCTTCCGGAGCATTCTGCGGACTCTGCATGGCTTACAACCATGCGGAGGTGGTAATAGTTGATTACCATTGGCCACAGTGCCTACCCACTACTTTTTGGTCCAATAAATATTTTTTTTATACACATACAAGCAAACATACTGGTCTCCCCTCTCACTGAGTTATTCAGTAAGGTATATATAAATGAGTTCGTAAAATGAGCGCGGCACATCCCCAAGCCTGTAATTTTTTATTAGCTATAACTTCGGAGCCATAAGTTACATGATATACCTTTGGAATTTAAAAGACTTGAGTTTCCAATTCGTTTAGCTTTTGCAATCACAATAGACAAGGTCAGATACGTTGCTTGCTAAAGGGTCGCCAACCCAAGAAATCTATATTTTTATGCGCGAAATAACACAACAAATAGTGTTGTTTACCAGAATGTCTTAACATAAAACGCAAAACTTTATTATGTACGATAATTGCATTGGAAAATGCTGTAAAGTATTAAAAACATGCTGTGAAATAACAATAGATTTCTTATTCGTAAGAAATTATATAATTAAAATTTAAATATTACAACATTGGTGTTTCTTCTACATATTACACAATTTATTGGAGATATATTAACGTAATTATAAACACCTGCTGTACCAAAGTTATTATTGCATTTCATTCCATAACACCCAAGCTATACAATTGTCCTACCATATTCTTCTACCACGCGAGCAGAGTCACTGGTTCAGGCTAGTACCGTAATGAAAAGTAGATTTTATTCGCGTTGCACTAGAAATTTCTTGATTTTCTCGATTTTAGCAAGTCAATTAGTCATTTAAACCGTTAGTTTTGTTATGAATAACTATTTAATGATATTTACACATATTCATAAATAGTACCTATTAACGAAAGTGTAGAAGCCGCACTCGGCAGTGCAGCTGCTTTGTCTCGGCAGCAATATGCCATTACGCGAAATGTCCCCATCTCAAAAGATTTCCGCATAACCATAATACTATGTATACATATGCTATTAAATTTGGTTTTAATGCAATTTCTTTTAATATTTTCTATAGCTTTCGCAACGGCTCTCTAGTGCGAGATTTATTTAATAAAATTGAGGCTAGCAGTGACTGGAACAAGTTCAATGAACTACTCGATTCTACGCCACGTGGAAACTACGGAAACATGGCTTTGCATTTTCATTCTATTGAAATAATTCCTAATGTGAAGGGCGTTTTGCGCTGGACCCGAAATAACTCCTCTGAAAACTCCGAAACAGCAAAAGGTGTACAAAAGTAAGTACTTCTAAATATATACATATTTATGCAGTGGCGAATTTCCATTCCAAATTTTTGGATGGACTTTAAATATTTTTGTTGATATTAAATTTATTTATTTAATATTCATTAACAGGTTCCCTGTCCAATCAATCACATGTGATATATGGGACAATGCCGACTTCAGATAAATATTTCTAAGTATTTGGCACAAAACAAAAATATATAGTATTGGCGTACTCTTCGCTGTAGATTCTTCAATACCATCTGAAGAAGTTAGTCTTCCACACATTGATTCAGTAGAGTTCAAATGCATTCGTGTACAGGCTGGAAAAGGGTCTATTTACTTAGCTCCATGCTATATCCCTCCCCGATCTGACACATTGGTGTATTCACGACTCATCTCTTTACTGAAATCAGTTAATTTACTGACTAAACCCTTTGATTCAATGATTGTGTTGGGTGGGTTTCCTTCCGCGATGAAGTATCAAAATACCGTCTCTAGTGATAATCAAGCAATTTCTAACATGTTCGCTCAGTTTTTTAAATTCAATTATTCCACTAACCCACATGCTAACATTGATTATCCTTTTAAACTATGTCCAATGAACTCAATAAATATCCCAGTAATATCTCCCGATGATGTAGGAGTTTATCTGAAATCCTTAAAGCAGTCCTTCAGGTATGGTCCTGACCAGATCCCTACTTGTATTCTTATAAATTATTCTGATTATCTCTATGAGCCGTTAACAGCGTTATTTAATTTATCTCTTAAAGAGGGCGTTTTTCCAACTATATGGAAGAATCGTTCATAACCCCGTTACATAAAAGCGNGGGTTTCCTTCCGCCATGAAGTATCAAAATACCGTCTCTAGTGATAATCAAGCAATTTCTAACATGTTCGCTCAGTTTTTTAAATTCAATTATTCCACTAACCCACATGCTAACATTGACTATCCTTTTAAACTATGTCCAATGAACTCAATAAATATCCCAGTAATATCTCCCGATGATGTAGTAGTTTATCTGAAATCCTTAAAGCAGTCCTTCAGGTATGGTCCTGACCAGATCCCTACTTGTATTCTTATAAATTGTTCTAATTATCTCTATGAGCCGTTAACAGCGATATTTAATTTATCTCTTAAAGAGGGCGTTTTTCCAACTATATGGAAGGAATCGTTCATAACCCCGTTACATAAAAGCGGTAGCAGATCTTCAGTGGAGAACTACCGGGGAATAGCTAAGCTTTCTGCAATTCCTAAATTATTTGAAGCAATTATAACAAATCAGTTGACGCATTCTATCTCTTCTAGCATTTCATATAGTCAACATGGATTTTGCAAGGGCAAATCAACTTCTACAAATTTACTTGAATTAACATCCTATATCTCAAAAGCATTTAGTGAGAGCAAAACTGTTGATGTTATATATACTGATTTCAGTAAAGCATTTGACAAAGTGTGCCACTCGTTGCTCATCTACAAACTTGATCTTCTTGGTCTTCCACCTAGTTTTCTACGTTGGATCTCTTATACCTCTATGATAGGATCACAAAGGGTAATGTTTAAAAATACTATCTCTGACGTCATTGATGTTACTTCAGGAGTCCCTCAAGGTAGCCACCTAGGCCCGGTTCTGTTCTTGCTTTTTATAAACGATATTTCTACAGATATACAATTTTCCAAAATTTTAATGTATGCAGATGATGTAAAGCTTTATAAATCGTACGTTTCAATTAAAGAAAGGTCTTTGCTACAATCAGACTTAGACAGCATGGCTTACTGGTGTCAAGTGAATCGTATGCCTCTAAATGGGCTTCTCGCGAAGAGCTGTTCATCCCGCTTCTTACACAGTAGGTAACCATAAGCTGGAACATGTATACAATTTTGTGGACCTTGGTGTCACAATGGATCCTAAGCTTAATTTTAATCTTCACATTAATGTGACAGTCAACAAGGCTAAAGGTGTACTTGCATTTGTGAAACGATGGTCAAAAGAATTGTGTGACACTTATATCACTAAAACCCTGTTTACAACATTAGTTAGGCCAATTCTGGAATACGGTTCGGTGGTTTGGAATCCAAGGTATCAAATTTACTCAGACAAGATAGAATCAATTCAAAAACAATTCCTACTTTTTGCTTTAAGAAATTTCCGTTGGGATTCTCAATATAACCTTCCACCCAATACGAGCCAATTAAAACTTATTAATCTTCCTACACTTTTCAACCGCAGGCAAATGCTTGGTACAATTTTTATAGTTAAATTACTAACAGGCTCAATTTCAAGTCCGCTTCTTCTTGGCGAAGTTAACCTTAATGTTCCCTCCCGGGTATCGAGACACTTTTGCCCCCTATTTCTGAAAGCTCGTAAAACTAATTTTGAATTGCACGACCCACTCCGTTGCTTATGCCAGGATTTTAACTCTCATTCCAGCACGTTTGATATATCAGATCCGCTTTTCAGCGTTAAGAAATCGATACTATCCTCTCTCAATAAATGAATCATTAAAATAAAGACATAAAATCGGCTGATGAATTTAGTTCTGTAGCTGAACAGTTTTAGATCTCGACACTTAACAAACTCCTGCCTATCGTAACTCGGCGCAAAAATTGAAAATACTGGTTCCGTACGTCATGCGGACTGCGCCCCTCGTGCGGATGGGCGGGAATGGAGGGTAAAAACCATTGGGATATTATTATTATTATTATTGTGTGAAAACATGCAGTAAACAGCTGTTGATTGATGGAACGTACCTTACCGAAAACTATTTCCCACGCTTATGTATCATATCATGAATGAGAAATAAAATATATATTTTTTTTTTTTGCATAAGGACATAATGTATGCTTTTGGCATATTTCCTGCAAAAAGATATATTGTCTGGGGACAGGGAACCTGTTGAGGTTCATCACTCCATACGAAAAAAAAATCGGTACTGTTTTTCCATCGGAATTATAAACTCTGTTATAATTTAAGACTTCTGCCAAAATATGTCGGAAAAGTATTAAGATTTACCCTGAAATACATCCACAAATCGGGTTTTTTATAAATAAAATTACAATTAAAAAAAGTTTTTCAAAAAATCACCTCAGGTGATGGGAGAGCTTATAAAAAATGTTTAAAAATTTTATCAACTGAGGCGTCGATGTTTTCAGTAAACTGACATCTCAAGTACATCGAATGGCCGAACATCGCTTTGTCTGAAGTTCATAGAGAGGAAGATGCAGTTTTATAGCTAATAAAATGTTAGTATAATGAAGTGCAAGTTTCAATTGCTTTAATTTTTAATATTTTTTCTTTGGCTGACTTGCGCTTTGTTATACTAAAATTTTATGAGCTATAAAACTAGTACATACCGAAAAAGGTTCTTAATGTTTTATTTCCATGTGGAGGAAAGCTCTATACGTATCGATGCATCGATGTACGCCCTCCGATACATCGAGAAATATCGACGTAAGTTTCGATGCATCGATGCGAGGAATAACATCGATGTATTTTTGCCACTGACATCCCTACAACAGAATCAAACTAATGAGATTTTTAGAGGTGTTTCAAATCGGTACCGCTCACGTAAATCTTCATATTTTTCCGAAATATTTTGGCGGAAGCTTTAAACTATAATAAACCTTATAATTCCGGCAGAGAAACCGACAGTTTTTTCGGGGAAGCACCCTAATAAATACATATAGCTAGCAAATAACCGTCCCGCTTCGCTGCAACCAAAATTTACTTTCACGCTGTTGCCAAGGCAAGTATAGCGTTGGAGACCCTTCAAAAATCGCGCTTGTAAAGAGTACTACCTAAGAATCAAGGAGTACTTCAAAATTAACCGAAATGCATACAAAAAATTTGGTCTAATTAACTATGGGATGTCCTAGGGCAGGGCCATACAAGTCAGCGCTGACGAGAGAAAACTCGGGGCCCTGTACAGAAAAATCACGGGCCTACTGTACAAAAATTGTATTAATTTAAATGCATGTGATCAGTTGAGAGTTTTCCATGTAGGGATTCTTTAACGTATAAAAGCGCATAAAGAAGGAGAAGTTTCTGACGAAACTTCCTAAAAATATTTCTTTCCATAATGATTTTTTTTTTGTTTTATAAAAATGTTAGTTATGAATATAAGATACGCTGATATAATCCAAAATCGCTTAACAAACTCAACAAAATCATAAGTCTGTCATTATTTTGTGGTTAATTAGCACTTTTTATATATATTATTTTCTGATATTTCAGGCCCCTTAAAAATTCCACGCCCGGGGGATTGCCCGTGATATCTGCCCTGAAAATACGATTCAGTGGCATTATTTTTAAGAAAGCTGGTCCCTTACATACATTCCAAAAATTTAAAAGGAAAATTGACTAATCTCATAACGACCATGGTTTTACCAAACATGTTAATATACCACAAAACTGCACGTTTCTTATTCTCGCCAGTCAATAAGTTGGTTTTTTTTTTTAATGACAATGATAAAAAATGTGTAGAAAAGCTGAATGATATACATAAGTTCATAAGAAACCATCAAGGTCGAACCGAATATTACGCCGAAAATCTGTGTACAGAACTAGCCGATAAATTAGCTGAGGAGGAAGCAAATAAGGTTGGTTTTATCTTAGAAGTACCTCGGCGAGGGGGAAGTCAAGTACATACATATGTCGTGCATATTACGACGGAAGCGCAGAAACCTTTTTTCGTTGCTCAATTTGTATTCCCATACTTGATCATTATTTGGATCAAATAAATGTGAGATTTGTGAGTCATAAAAAACTACTAAAAAATATTCAGAACATCTTTCAAAACAAAATTTTTAAGTTGGACCCTAGTATAGCGCTGCCAGATA